CTCAAACAATATCTCAAAACAAAATCTCAAACAATATGTCAAAACAACATCTCAAAACAAAATCACTGATTAGAAAAAAAATTTTCAGTATAATCTGGCTAAAAAAATCTCGTAAATCTCAAATATTAGGTTTTTTGCTTATTTCTCACCATAGTATTATTATTATTTTTTCAACATCTTCACTTCCAACAAGACTGCAAGCAACCACTACTAGAGTAGGAAGTTACTGGAAAAGAAAAGATGAACTTTATAAAGCAAGATAAAGAATTGTTGGAGCACTAGGAACAGTCACAGTAAATAGATGACACTTAATGGAATGATGAGTAACACAAGAATCAATTTTCCACAAGAGACATAGAACTTTAGAGTAGTGCTCATTATATTATTTATAGAAAAGAAAAAAAGAAGCAACATTACGACAATGTAATAATGGTTAAAGGTTGGCTGCAAAAGCAAGTACAACTATGTTTACAATACATATTACACCTTGTCTAAAAGAAAAAGGGCATCATTCGAAGATTCGCCCCAGATATGGCAACAGCATTCTATAAAAAGACGATTTGAGGTTTATACAGGGCTGTGGAGTCGGAGTTGTGGAGTTGCGACATTTTTAGCGGAGTCGGAGTCGCTAAACAAAATTGCGACTCTGACTCCAATAGTAAAACTTTTCGGTATTGCACGCGCGTGTACAAATCATTCAATTAACCTTATGTTCATACTTCATGTGTGACCTTTTTTATTAGGTTGTTCTACTTCTATTGATTCTAGAAACGTTGCAGCAAATCGAACGTTTTTTAAAAGCAGCATACATGTCCCCAGCTGCCATAAAAGCATTTGCGCCGATTGACTGTCTATAAACAGAAAACTCTCCTTCAATTTAATCACTTTGTTGCCGACTGAAAATAAATGCTTACAGGCAGCTATCAACATTTTAGCGGTTTGCACAAGGGCATTTTTATTATCATTGGTATTATCAAAGGCATTTATTATTAAGGGAATTATTATCAAGGGCATTTTTATTATCATTTCATTCGTTTAGGTCAATTTTCTGATGATCTTTATTTTTTCAAAATTTTTTTAGTACAAGGCAGTTGTTTGTAAAACTATATTTATATCTATACAGATGCATATAAAATATATAGACAGCAGCTTTCGTTTACTTGAAAGCACTAAAAGATCACGAAGTTGATCGTAGATGCAGATGTAAAAAGACTCAACAACAAAGTAGTAATAGGCTGTAAAGAAACTTTTGTTACACAATTGAATTTTCTTGCAATTTGATTTGGTTTCTTTTGCTAGATAGGATCCTTTAATTCAAGTTCATAATCTAAAAAAAATAATAAAAAAATAAAAAACGCTTTTTCAATCATTAACATGCAGATTATAGTTAAGTTAACTTATAGTTAAAAACAAAGAAGATCATGCCTTTGTTGGAATTCAGTATATTACGTAATGGATCACTAATGTCATGTTTAACAGCAGAAAAAGTTAATGGTAAAACAATACACACTTATCATAAGCAATTATTACTATAAAAACAGTATTTTTAGTGACCTTGGCGCATTAGTTAGCTCTGGGCATGCTTCGCACTATTGATAAGGAAGGAGGCGTGAACTTCATAGTTAAATGCTATTACGCAGTGTTCTAAGACCGTCATATTGAAACATTTAAAACTAAATCTAAAATAAAAAAAATCATGAAGCTCTACCCTAACACAAAAATACATGCCAAATTTATTTTTTTTTTTTTGCCTACTTATTACAATATTTTCATATTTTTTGTGTAATTCATTGTCAAGATTCAGAAAACAAACCTTTTTTTATTTAGAAAAAAAATTAAATTGCTGTCTCTCAGGCTTAGATTGGCCAAGTACTTGTTTTCGTACAAGAAACAAGAAAAATTAATTGTTGAAATAAAATGCAAAATAAAAGGTGTTTGGTAAACAAGAAAAATTAACATATAAAAAAATGAAAAACCAAGAACTTTCAAAATTTCTGCGCTTTCAGGCTTATGTTTCTCTCATATAAAAAATTTGGATGGCTTAATAGCAAAATTTTTACATGGAGGAAGCACGTCAACCCATTTCATTTTCTTAACTCTATCTTTAGGTTAAAACACAAAACATTTATTTTGTGTTTTAACCTAAAGATAGAGTTAAAACAATTAAAAAGTTTATTTTAATTGCCTTTACAATATTTAACTCCACTTTTGTTCGGCATATTGAAAGAAAGAAATTTAGGTTAGCAACTCTAAAAAAATTTTATGACCCACCCTATTATTTATACTGTTGTATTTTCAGGTATTTGTGGTACAAATACATCTTACTTTCAAGTATATTAGATTTGTTCTTCAAGAGTTGAAAGTTAAAAATTAGAAACGAATTTTTAATACCCAATACTTTTGTTTTATTAAAACAAATTTTGCAATCAATTTTTTCTGATATTACCATTACTTTTTTTCTGATATACCATACTTTAACATTCGGTATGTGTATAAAAATAAAAAAAATTCAGAAAGAGACAGGTCTCGAACCACAGACATTACGAAGTCAACGTATCACCAGTATCACTAAGTCATAAGCTAAACGCGCGTATATGTAGTAACTAATAATATACTTAATTTAAAAATTCTTCTTCCTCTTCCCATATAAAAAATAAACTTAGTTATAATTAACTAAATCAATTAACTAAATTAATTGCAAAACTAATTATAATGAATATTGTATTGTCATCAAACAAGAGTATGTATGCAAAATTTGAAGAAAATCTATTATCAGGAAGTGACTCAAAAATTATGAGGTTTGATGCTAACAGACAGACAGAGACGACTTATTAAAAGCATGGTAAATAATGAAATGTGATCGAAAATTGTTAATGTTTTCTACGAATCCACTAGATGCTGGGTACGTTAGGAAAATATTTTCAAACGATCACAACAACGTTTTTGTGAAAGGTAGTCTTTCCAATTGGAGGCTGGTAAACAAAAATAACCAAGAACATATTTAACGTTTTTAATAGTCTTTTTTTATTCAAATAGAAATTCCATTCATTACTTATTCCGAATTGTTTATCACAATTATTATTAAAAGTAACAAAACACGAAATATAAGGTTTGACTTAATCCCGGATAATCTTCCGCCATATGCCTGTAAAACAATAAAGATCAACTTAACATATAATATACATTAAAAAACAAACACGACGTTTGTTAAAAAAACTTAAACAAAAATGTTATTTTTTACCTTGACTAGAAAATGAAATTAATTCTAAAACTAATGGACGACCGAAACGATGGACCCGTTTCGATCGTCCAACTAATACAACTAAGATAAAATTTTAAAACCTTTTCAATTTGCTTAATTGGAAATTTAAAAAATATGATACAAGAAAAAATAAAATAGAAATAAAAGAATTAATTTTACCTGAACTGACGCCAACAATTTGTAATTATTCAAAAATTTGATAACTGATCAAAATCAAGCAAGTTGTACCATGATAACCCATCTTAAAATTACGCTGAAAAAAAAAAAAAGTTACAATGAATTTCTTTAATCTACAATACAAGTTAAGGTGTCAAAAAAATTTTCGTAAAAACTATTTAAAAAGTATTAAATCATTTTAATTTATCTTGACGGTTTATATTTTCTTAAATTTATATCCAGGAATGAAATAGCTCATGGCATCCAGGGATGAATTTTTATTTTGTACTACATTCCAGTAATAAAAGTTTAATCATTTTTTTCCTCCAAAACTTTTTACATACTAAAGCTATTTTCATTTTAAACAAAGTTTAAAGTTTGAAATGATTCAGAGATACTTTGAAACGATGCGGTAAGTGATATACTCGATATACTTAATAAAATATACATTTGATATACTTAAAAATGATATACACATATATGTGATATACACGATATACTTAAAAAAAAAAATTAATCCATTGCCAAACGACTTTAGTATTCTTCCCTGGAACCATTGCCATGCTTCTGGTAATTCATAAATATAAAAAGCTTTTTTATTAAAGAAAATAAAAAAAAAAAAAAAAAATTTAAACAAAAATATAACTTATATAATATTTATTAATTCAATAGATTAAGCCTAATTTGTTAGTTTTTTAATATTGAATTCATTGCATTGAAATAGCACATTTTATAAATGCTTACATGATTGCAAAAACAAATATTTTAATTCAGATATTTTGTTACTGTTTAAACGTTATTTAAATATTTTTTATTTTCATATTACAAGTACTATTGTTTTGAAATATTTAGAAAAAGATTTACCATGTTTTCTATATTTGTTCTTTGTTCTTTCTTTCTTCATAACTGCAGTCTTTTGAGTCAAGTGAAAATTTCTCTGTTAAATTCGCATTAAAAGTGAAAAAGATCATTTCTTGAGTTTTATATGAACTTCTGTGTTCAAATAACATTGAGTTGATTTTTTTTAAGAACAAAAGCTTGTATTAGTTACAGGGCCCAAAATCGCTCAAAATTTTAGAGTTATTGTAGATATAGTAAACACTGAGTTTTTTTTAGCAATATTTTAGTGCTTAAATGTGACAAGCACAATGCATAAAGTTTCAATGAAATAAAAAAGTAAAACTATTTTTAATGTGTACCAAAAAAATAATAATAACACATTTCACTGATTTTTAACGTGTACCAAAAAAAGTTAACACATTTCACTGTTTTTTTTTTTTTTAAATTTGTATATGGTCTATCCTATTTTAGGACATCTTTTTAAAAAATCATTAATATTCCGATCTAAAAGTTCATTATATATTCTAAAATATTAATTTTATTTTTTAAAGTTATTTTTGTTGTTTTTTCTGTAATTTTCTGTAAAATGTTACAACATTTATTTGTTTAATTAAAACGTTACTTATACAAAAATTCTGAGCCCTGTAACACTGATATTGAATAATAAAACTGGTATTTTGATTTTAAAAACTTCATTTAATAGACATGTAATTGATCATTTTAAACAAAAAAAATTTCAATATAAGAGCTTCAAACATATATTTAAGTACTAGAAAAAGTACAATCTCCGCAATTTTAAAAAATTTCTATTGTTCATTACTCATCATTCTTTTAACGTTGGATGAAATTCTTCATTATTAACTGTTCCATTGTTTAATAACCTGCACAAAAATAACAGTTCACTAGGATTTATTGTGATTTAAAATTAAACGCTACCCACAACGTAAATTAAAATAAAAAAATATATATTAAAACAATTAAAATAATTAGAAATTTGAACATTTTTTAAATCCAAAACTTGAATTCAACAAAGTCAAGTAGATTAAGTGAAAAACTGATAACATAATTGAAAGAACACATTTGAAGATGTTTTTGTTTCTTTTTTTACTTATTTTTGTTTATTTTAATGTTTTAGGATTAGTTTTTTTTTTGTATATTATTACAATTTTGTTTTGTTAACATTAGCAATATGCTATTTTTTATTATTAATAAAAGTAATGATTTTTTTTATAAGAAAGTTTATTTGAGAAAGAAATGGAAGAGTGTGCTACTGAATAAACACACAGCTAATTTTTATAAAATTGCTTACATACAATTTTGTGTTTAAATGAAATTCATAATCACTAATGTGAAAGTGAATTACCTAAATTATGTTAATTTTTGTTTTAACTTATTTCAATTTCTTTAAACTTCATTTTTCTTTAATTTACATAAAAACAGTATTAAATAATTTAAAGACTTTGAATGAAACTGAATGGCAATTAGATTCAAAACTTACACCATCATTAATAGAAATTGCATTATTTTGTATTGATCAATTTTTTTTTTACTTTTTAAGAATATTAGAAAAACTAAAACAAAATTTTTAAAAGAGGAAAAAAATTTTTTAATTTGTCTATTTCTTTATATTGAATTTCTGTCTTTTGTTTATTTATGAATTTTTATTATAAAAAGTAAGATAATTTTAAATTTGTAATTAGGTATTTATACACATTTTTTAATTTTAGTCAAGTCAAATTTCATAAAATTATACACAATTTTTTAATTTTAGTCAAGTCAAATTTTAAACCAAGAGTTAACACAAAATGTTTTGATTTAAAAAAAAAAAGAAAAAAAAAAGCTTTTAGATATGCATTAATTTACAATTTTGAAAATTTAAATAAACTATCACATTCATGTTATTGTTCCTAAAAAGTTTCAATAAAAAAGCCTTTTTAATCTAAAATTTTCGAAAAAACATAAATATTTCCCTAAAGTTTATATTTATAAAATAAAGGCTTTTAAAAAATATATAATTTAAGTATTCTTACCAGAATAAGGATCACCAGACCATCTTTCGGTTCCTCTAATAACAGCTTTAGGTTCTTGAGCAAAAGAATCTCTAGCAGAATCAACATAACTACTTGGTGCTGGCTCAAACCCTCTCCTTCCTAGTTCAAAACCACCTCTAACTGAGGGAGGAGAACCTCTTCCATTTCTAAATGTATCACGCTGTGGGGTTCTTGAAAAGGTATCTTCAGCAGATCGAGATGCAATTGCGGCATAAGGATCCCTAGGAGCAGCATATGGATCTCTTGGAGAAGCGTATGGATCTCGATCTCGTGAAACTTGGGAGGGAGCATATCTATCATATGCTGGGGAACTGTACGCCCCACTAACAGCTGCTGGTCTCTCATTAAATAAACTTCTATCAACAGGAGCAGCAGACCGAGCATACAAATCTCTAGGAGCATACACATCTCTTGGCGCTTCATAAGACTCCCTGGTTCTATCAATATAAGGATCACGAGCAAATGATTCTCTCGGTGCTTCCATATAACTTCCTCTGTCATCTCTTCGAGGACCAAGTGCGTAGGTATCTAAAGGTTGTCTTGGTGGAGCCTGCTCACCAAATGGTTGACGCATAGGTGGATGGCGATCATCAATCATTCTAAACGAGTCCCCACTTCGTGGAACTTTACTAGGAGGTTCTAATTCTCCCATTGGAAGCCCAGGACGACGCATTGATCTTGGATCTGGAGAATCAAGGAAAGGAGGAGGTCCTATTGATCAAAAAAGAACTTAATAACTAATAAGAAATTAATAACATTTAAATACATGGTAAAAAATATGCATCGATATTGTTTATGTTTGAAATGAAATTTGAAATAATCATCAAATAAAACTAAAAAAATTAACTAAACAGTATCAAAAGCTATATTAAAAATACCTATTACTATCATTGGTTGATATTAAAATTGCACTTGTAAAACTGTACTTTTAAAACCATTAGATGTTTATAAAGTTAGAGAAATGCCTGTTTTGCAAATACTTTGTTAAGGATTTCTGCAGTTTTGTATTTTGATTAAGACTTGGGATAAAGCAATTTTTTATTTTTATTTTTTGTATTTAAACCAGTATTAAAAGCTTTTTAATATACAGTAATAAATTTTTACATACAAGTTAAGAATTCGCTTAGTGATTTTTTTAAACTTTGTTGCAGTCAACTTATTTTTTTAATTTTGGCAAATTAACAAATTTGAATTATTTTTAAAACTGATTAACTCATATTCCATTTAAATAGTTTACAGTTTTCAATTAATTAAAAACCTGAAAACAAGAAATCCCCTCAAATATATTAAAAACATTGTAATTTACATTCTCTGTTGTGTATGTTTACATTTTGTTAAAAAAAAGACAAATGTATTGTTAAGCTCTACTATACAATATGTTTATTTCAACTTTTTAGATTCTTGATGGTGCATAAAAACTATTCAATAAAGTCATTGCATTAAAAATTATTTATCCGTATAATTTATTTTAATTTATATCAGAAAAAAGTGACAAATTTAAAAATGCGAATCAAAATTCTTATTAATTTGAAAAAGTGCTTGCCAAAGGCTCAATTGAGTCACTGTATAAAATTTTAAAAATCAATTTGTTTTTATTTTTTACAGTGTCACCCTTGTAAAATAGCATCTTACTTATGTTTTGTTATGCTATCACCCAACATTGTACATTGTATTAGTATTGACAGATAAGTACCTTTTGTACTTATCTGTCAATACTAATAAACTTTACTGATTTTTTTTACCACATTTTTTACATTAGAAAATATTTATATGTACTAATGGATTCTGAAACAAAAACAAGGCTGATTAAATGTCTTTTATGGACCTTTTCTAAAAATTTAATTTTAACTTCAAAACAAAAAAAAAAAAAAACCAAACAAATAAAAACAGTATTAATCAATTAATAAAAGATAATCTGTAACTTAATAAACAGAAGAAAAATAAGTACAGATAAAATAAAATTAAGATAATAATTCTAATAACCATCCTAATAAGTTTGTAAATGAACATTTTTTTTTTTGTATATATATATATATATATATATATATATATATATATATATATATATATATATATATATATATATATATATATATATATATATATATATATATATATATATAAATATTATAATTACTAAAATTTACCTTAATTTTTTTTCAGCAATTTAAAATCTCTACTTTTTAAAATAAAATTTTGGAAATTTTTATAATAAACTTTAGTAATAATTTTTGATTGGTTTGCAATTGCTAACAAGTTTAATTATATTGATACTATCACAATATTTTATTATATCATTTGTGCCAGAAAGCACAAGCACAAAAAACATATAACTGTACTTGATAAAGTATTAGCCACATGCGACAGAAAGAGTATTTTTAAAACAGAAAAAAAAAACAAGGATGCAGAGTCCCAAGGATTCTGGATTTAAAATTCACAAAAAGATTACTTCTTTCTAGTTTTTTGTATCCAGGAGCTTTAAAAATATAAAAAAGCTTATGGGCTACTAATGGGGAAAAAATCAAGACCTATAGATCAGAAAAACAATCAATTCTTGAACCAGGAGTCCTTAGGTATAACGGCAGCAAGGACATGTTTAGAGCTTCTGGACACCAGATACCATAAAAAAAAATAAAGTTATAAAGCCAGAGTACTTTTATGGACTCTGCATCTCTAAAAAATAATTATAAACTAACCAAAAAAAAAAAAAAAAAAAAAAAAATTATTATTCACTTACGAAAACAAAATTTAACTTTCTTAACTTTTTTTAATGTTAAGCAGAAATGAGTATTGGTAGCAATAATCAACAGTAAATTTCAGTTAAATAATATAGCATTTAACAAAACTATCAAATTAATACTTAAGTAATGAAGCGATAAAAAAAGAATTAAAAACCAACCTCTGGGTGAATCAAACCTTCTCTCACCAAATCCATGTTGCATTCCTGCATTACCTCGTAAATTTGGAGGACCTCCTCTCATTGGAGCACCTCTACCAGACATACCTGCACCTCTTGGAGGAGGTCCAGCATTAATCATAGAAAATCCACCACCTCTGGAAAACCCTCCTCCCCTAGATAAACCATTTCCCCTAGGAGAACCTCTAGTTGGAAAAGCACCTCTGCCTCTCAACGGACCTCCTCTACCAGGTGAAACTCCAGTAGCTCCAGCACCTCGATCTTGAAGAACATTTAACCAATCAGGTGTTTCACTAGTCGAGTATTTTACTTTAATTGGTTTGTCAGCAATTATCTATTAAATAAAAATTTATAATTATTTAGTTAGCAATGATGCACAATTAAAGTTTAATAATAAACATACAATATATATGTACAAGGCTCAATTTAATTTTTTATAAAGTCCAGGACAAAATGTCCAATCAAAACTTGCTTGGGTCTGACAGTGTCTGATCAAATTTTTTAAATATAATTTTTACGCTTTTACGGAACCAAGTTATGCAATCCAAATCTTTGTCATGTTATTAAGTTTTTTAATGTTAGTTTTTTGGATATTTTATCATAGATTTTTGCTTTTTTTTTTATAAAATAGTTCCAATTAAATATTGTATGTTTTTTTAAAATAGAACTTGCATGCTGTAACTGAAAAGGCTTTTTTATTTTTTACAACTTGATTACAGCTTTTTTTATGTTTTAACTATTTAAATGCAATGAAAAAAAATGGTTACATTACAAATAACTTTTAACCATTGATTGTTTTTAAAGTTTTATTTTAAGTTTTTATTGAAACTATTTTTAAAATAGTTTCAAACATTTAAACTTTCCATTTCAAACATTTAAACTTTCCAAGTCTTTCTAAAAATATTTGTCTTAATTTAAGCTTGAAGCTGATCAATTTTTGTAAAATTTTTTGTTCGGGAAAAAGTTCAAATAAAAATTTAAATACTGCAAGTATATATATTTAACTATAAATTTACTGAAAACTATTTGGAAATCCAGGAAAACTTCAAGAAAAAAAAAAAAGTTGTAAGAAATATCAGGAACTTCGATTTTTTTGGGAGAAAGATATCTCTAGATTTTGTAGATGACAAAAACTGTGTTTTGATACAATTTTTCAGGATTTAGGTAAGCATAGAAAATTTTCTTCTCATCAAATTAAAGTCAGCCTTACAGCTTCCTTCATTCAGCTTCTGCAACTAATTCTAATCGTAACTGTTGCAATATTCATTTGACTATCATATGACTATATAATACTTTAACCATTTTGACATTATTTTCTCAGATTACTTTGTAGTTAATTTATAGGTACTCAAGACTTTGAAAAATTCATTACTAGTGTCATTACAATGGCAATTCTACTTCTATTTTTTTTTGGATCTGATCACTAATTAACCCTAAAAAAGAATAAGACAGACCCAGTTGCATTAATCTTTTTCTCTAATTACAATTTTCTCTCTTAAATTTATTAACTAAACTCTACCTGCTATTTTAAAATAACAAATTAATGTTAAACATTTAAATACTTTAACTTTAACTCTAACTTTTGCTGCTGTAGTTTTATATAGCTTAAATTTTTTTTATGGCTATTGGTCTAGACATCATTCCTGTCACTCTTCAGGGCCTATTTTAGTATAGTAATATTTGGGTGTCAGTATCCATCTACCACACTTTTTTCCCCTCCTAAAATGCAAAAAACAACCTTTTACTTGTAAAAACAACAAAAATGCAAAAAAACAACAACCCTTTTACTCTTAAATAGCGCAGCGCTAAACTAATCAAAATTTTCGTTGCGCTTTCCTATAGAAGAACTGCAACCCTAATTATTTATGACCAAAATTTTAAGAGAATAAACTTTAGAGAGTTCTAGGGAATTTTTAGAAAAGCTTTACAATAGTGTTCTACAGAGCTATAGAACCACTTTTGTGGTTCACAACCACAATTGTAATGTGGTTTTAATTTCAAAAAATCTGGACATATATGCTCATAGCTAATTTCAAAAAATCTGGAGATTTAAGTAATAATTAAAATTATACTATTTGACTGATGATGTCAGCAATTAGCTCATAGCTGTTTCTGATTAAACAGTCTTAAGAACTACATTATACATTATTAATTGAAATGATTAAAATTGAAACAAAATGAAAATTCTAGTAATTGTTCTCATTACAATTATCATTTGAAGTTTAACTGAAGTTAATGTTATAAGGTTCATCTTAATACTTTTTATGTTCCTTGTTTTTTGTACACAATTGTAAACAGTTATTTCAAAATAAGCACAAAATTTTTAAGCATATTATTGTTTGAATATGCAACTAAATTGAAGCGAAGTGATTAAAATTATGCACAACTAGTTAGACTAACATTTTAAGACTTGTTTTTAATTATATAAACATGAATAAATACAAATTTCCTGATCAACTAATTATTTTTGTTTTATACAACAGCGTTAACTTCAACCAGACACTCAAATTTTCAAGAATTGACTAATAATAAAATTTTTTTGTCTTTTAATTATGTAGTTAAAAAAAAAAAATTCTTCTTAAAATTATACTTTTACATTATAAATATACCCATTATAGTTACTACTTGTAAAAAAACATACTCAAAATTAAATGCCTGTATGAAAATAAACTGAGTGGGAATCTAAGTATATTTTGCGAACCCTGCAAACATTTAACTTTGTTTAAACTTACCTGTGAAAAGATGTAAACTTTAATAATAGAAATATTAAGAAAATTAACCAATAAGAAAGTACTTACCCTCCCATCCATCTCTTTCATTGCGTCTGTTGCATCTTTATGACTGGCACACATTACATATGCAAAACCTTTTGACTCCCTAGTTACTTTATCCTTGATGACAGTCACTAAATAAATATTATATATATATACATATACACATATCTAATATATGCACACATACACAAAGCTTGGCCAGGAAGGTGTGTGAAAACAAGCCTTTTTATGACCACACAAATATATTTTTGTGACAATTTGACCACACTTTTTAACATTTTAAAGATGCCCTGGAAAAAAAGGTTTTTAATTATGTTAATTAAATTTGACAAATTTATCTTTACTATCATTTTTATATTACCAAAGCACTTTTAAATAATGTAACTAATGATTTCAATTAAAGTATTGATGAAAGCTGTATAAATTTTTATTTATATTATTTAATTATATATGATTTCTTATTATAAATGTAATTTTGAAAAACTAATAACTTAAATTTTATAAGCAACGACATTAGAAAAACTAATAAACTTTTTTTGAATCATCTAAGTTAATACACTGGAAAAGAAGAAAGATTTTGAGAAGAAAAAAAAAAGACAAACTTTTTTGAAAACTGTTTGAAATAACTTTAATCTTTACTTACGTTTTAATATTATTGAAACACATTTAAATAAAGTAATAAAGCCATTGCTAATGATTTTTTACTTAATGTTTTAATGAATATTTAATTTTTTGAATATTTATGTAAGTCAGCCGTACCCTCCAGATTTTCTCAGTCGCCATCAAGACGACTGAAACAGTTTATTTCTCATTTGAGTTGTCTGCTATAATAATTAGTAGTCCGGTGTAAAATTTTATTTTAGTTATGCAAAGTCATGTACTTTGTTTTTAAGTAGCAAATTATTATATATTTTTTAAAATAAAAAACAAAACAAAACAATAAACTTGCGACTACAAAAGTAATAAAACTCTTGTCACTAACTGCATTATAAAAGTAATAACACTATAATAGTGATATTACTTTTATAAAGCACTTATAACTTTTAAAGTTTATTTAACATTAGTAATTCTAATGTTCAAATAACATTAGTAATTATTCTTAATTACTAATGTTATTTGAACTCTAATCAAAGTAGATAACTATCTAGAAAAAATAAAGCAAATATTCAAATATATTAAAAAACTTCAAGAACTTTTACAAATACACTTAAACAACCTTATAAAAAATTTAGCATTATGAAAAAATTTACTAATAGTCCATAAAAACGCATGTTAATTTTAAAATCAACAAAAAAAAAGTTTTTATGGATTATTAGTAATGTTTTTCATTATGATTAACTTTTTATACAGTACATTTTTTTCAGGGTAAACCCCTCTAAGTATGCATTTTTTTATTATGGCTTTAAATAAAAAAATTATATCAACTTTTTGAAGAAACAATTTATTTATTTTTTCTTTAGTTTACGTTACTGTGAAGAATTTTTTTAAATCTTTTCTTTTTTAACTTTTAAATGGGCATATTTATTAAACAGTTGTTAGTCAAAACTTGTAACTTTATTTAAAAGGGTTTTGCATAATATTATAGTATAAAAATATCAGTAAAGACTATTCAAAGTTATTTATTTTTGAACTATTCAAAGTTATTTATTTTTAACGTAATTTAAATATCCTTATAGTTATAGTTTATCTATTTTAGTTATTTTTATTTTATTTTTTGTTATTTTCTTTTTTTTTACGAAGATTTATTTGCTTTTTTCAGGATTTTTTTTTTTAAGGTAATTAAAGATAAGTTAGATAATAAGTTAGAATTTTTATAGATAATTTAATTAAGAAAAGATAATAATTTAATAAAGATAAGTTAAAATGTATACAAATTTTCAAAACTCCTTAACAGCTGTGGTCAAGTTTTCAAAATCAAATAATACTTACATGGTTACATTATGGTGCAAAATTGCATGCCTTCCTGGTCAAGCCTGCACACACATATAAATGTATGGCTTTTGATTTGCAGTAAAGAGATAAAATGTTATGCAATAATCAAATCAAAATAAACTAGACCTTTTCAAGTAACAAAGAATATCAGAGTGCTACCTCATGAAAATTTTAATTAACTATTATCATTTTCTGTCAATTAAAAAAGCAGCTTTTTTTTAACTCTATTTGCCTTCCTAAGGCTGAATAGTCACTTAATTTTTTATTAACAATAAAAAAAAAACTTTCCATTTTTTTAAACGATTAAAAAAAAAAATTTAGCCTTATGGAGGTAATTAGTAAAAAAAAACACTCCTTGTTTTGATGGTAGAAAATGTTAAGTTTAATTAAAATTCTTAACAGCTGGAACTTTGACATTTTTAGTTTTCACTTGTCCGGTGCAGACTGAAACAGTTTTTATTTATTATTTAAGTTGCTATGATAATCAGTAGTCTGGAGTAAAAGTTTTTTTCTTGTATTTTTTTCTCAGGTAAAACTAATAATATTTTTAAAAATGTTAACTATTTTTTCTTATACACAAATTTTTTTTTTTTTTAATTTTACTTCACCTCCTCAAGGCCGAGAAGGCCACTACAAACGAGGAGGCTACTTATTTTGTGGCTATAACCCTCTCTCAACTCAATAACTCCGAAACACGAACCTTGACGAACAAGGCCGCTGCGCGGAGAAACGAGTTGAGCGCGGTACTACCAGGGACGTGGTGGGGATCAAACTCGGAACCACTCGTTTATGAAGCGAGCGCTCTACCACTACACCACTACCGCATAAAATCAAGAACACACAGGTCAGAAATTGACCTTTTAGGTTTGATTTTGGAACACCCCAAATATTTTTATAGATTCTATTTAAGAAACCTTTAGGTTACATAATACTGAAAAATTAAAATCCTGCAGGTAGCATATTTTTAGAAAACGCATTTAAAGGGGGCGGGCCAATGAAATCACTATGTTCAAATGAAGAAACTTCCCGAAACGCTGCAAACTTAAATTTTTACATACCAATATCAAATTATGATGATTACCAATATCAAATTATGTTTTGCCAAAAAAAAAAAAAAAAAATTATTTCGGGAACATTGAAAATACAACAAATTTGGGGTACCGACTCCAAATATGCCAATAAATTCGAAAATTTCTTTTGTACAATCTTATAGTAAATGAAATTTTATTCAAAGAATTTAAAATTTAAAAAAATATACATTACAGTTCAAAAGTTATGATCAAAAAATGTTATATTACCCCTCCCCCTTCCAAAAAAAATGAGGAGTTTTTGTATTTTACATGACCATAACTTCTGAAGTACATAAGATTTTTTTAAGACACCTAAAATTTCATAATGAATTTTGATTTGGTTTAAGAAATTACAAATATATTTTTCAAATGCACATGTCCCCTGCTCAATCAGATCAGGTGGCTTCAAATTTTGGGATTTTTTTTTTCTTAAACTTTAATCGCCGTTATTTTTTGGACACGTTTATCTTTTTATAACCATGATACCATGTGATTATATGAATACATATACAAAAAATTTTAGTCTTCGAAATGCCTGAATATCATAAGCCCCTTTATTGTTAATAAACTTTTTTTTGTTTAACTTTACTTCTTTGGACTTTTTACATTTACATTTGTCTTTTTGACACTAGTACTTTTATATAATAGAGTATAGTATATGGTATAAAATAGCTTAAAAACAACGCCTTATATTGCAGTCTACATATTATTTTGGTTATTTTAGAGTATAAAAAGTACTGATATTTAAATATTTATTTAGCAATACTAAATTAAGATGTAAACTAAAAATAAGCCACCAAAAATGAAGTGTGTCAAACAAATATAAAATTAACTCAACAAACCACTACTGATTTTGTTGTTTGTTTTCTGCCAATTCAAGATAGTTAGTTTTAAAACATTTTTTAATACGTAGTGGCATCACGCTATTTAAATGGATAGCTTTTGCTCTATTCAAAAAAATTTATGATTTCTAGAGGAAATGGTACCAACTATACTAAATTTTTTGTAGAAATTATGTACATTATGCTATTTTTCTTTGGCCAATTTTAGCTTTGATTTTTGCAATAGATTTAGTATATTATGTTTGAGTTTGTAATGCAGTGACATTTTTTGACGTTTTTATAAATTTTATTCAGTACCATTACACAGCCAATTTTTAGTACCAAATTAAAAGACCTTCAGTTAAAAAAAGCTAGTTTTCCAAGCACAAAAATCTAATAACTTTGCATCCATTTAACTTCTAAACCTCATTCTTTACATCTTTATAAGCTCTATATAATTATGTTAACCATAATCAACAATAAACAGTTAGAAAAAAAGAAAATTTCCTAATATGACTAATACTGGATATGAATTCAAGAACAAACAAAAAATAAACTATGATCTAAAAAAAACTTTTTTTTTCAAAAAACTTTCATCCAAAAACATTTTTATTCTTACATATCTGTCCTAATATTTAAAGTTTGAATCAATTTCAAAATGAATTTTTTATGAGGAAACTAACTAAATGCTATTAATATAAAAAACAAACCTCGTTCTATAACAGCATGCTTTTCGAATTCTGCTTGCAATGTAGCCTCATCAATACTTGGATCCAGTCCAGCTATGTATAAAGTATTTGTTTTCATTTCTAAATTAAAATTAAAAAACATATAAATGTAATCTCGTATAAATGAGAACAAAAGCTAAAATTAACTTTACCAAAATGACCAACTTTTTATCTTAAATAACCGTTATTGAACTATGTGAATAACATATTCATTTTATTTAAGCAAAAGAATATTATGATGACAAAAATCATTGTTGATAGTTTTCTATAATTTATTACCCTTTCAATACAGAAAATTAAATGAAGAAATGAAAAAATATAAGATCCAACTAAAGCAATGCTTTTGCTCGAGCTGTTGGAATATTTGCAGTAACTTCTTGTCTCTTCAATAGACAGAGACCGCAGCGCATTGTACGAAATACGCATGCTCACAAATATGCTGTTTTTTGTTTGGCTTGACGATTCTCGAAACAGTACAAGGTAATGTAGAAAAAGGTGTGGTATTCTGAGCCTTTTAATAACTTAACAATTATAAAATCTGTATTGAAAATTATTTTTTATTAATTTTTGTATTAAAAAAGTTATTAAATCATTTATTTTTTAAATTTGTTTGTATTGCTTAAATCATGGTTAATTGGCTCACACATTTTTTGTTTAGTAAAGTTATTTAGTTTTATGCAACACTTAATCATTTTTCTGTAAGATATACCAACTCATAAAAAATGTGGAAAGGAATCATTGAGTATTTGTCTTTAAGATGCTTTTTATAAAATTTTCTTTCAGATACCTTATTTTATATTTATTATATCGTTTATCAAAAATTTTTGTAAGTTTATTATTTATTGTTTGTACAAAATAGAAAAACTGCTTAAATTATTAATATTATTTTTATTTTTGGCAATATATAACTGTAATACGACCAACAAATGTTAAAAAAATTAAAAAGTTACAGACACACGGTTAAATTGCCAAATTACAAATACAAAAAAAAAAAAAAAAAAAAAAATTTATTCCCGACAGTAGTTTTCCTAAAAATGTAAATTTTTTAGGTTTTTACAACACAGTTTTCTTCGCCTCCTATTTAAATCCACTATTTTACTCCAGGTCAGGCTCAGGATCATCAAGATCACCATGCTACTGGTATCTGTAACCCAGTATTACCTGTTTATACACTGTTGTCTTGTAGAGAATAATTTTTTTACGAAAAGGCTAGGAGAAACAAACTTCGACTCCCAAAAACAAAATTCCCTGCCTTGGGGCTCTTGGTTGAGTAAAAGTTAGAAACAGTGTCTCGAAAAAAATACTCATCTTGGGCCGATGTTAACTGCATACAGTTAGAATTTCCCCTGCCTTTAGGCTTTTAGCTAAATAAAGACTAGAGATATTGTTTCGTTGAAAATACTCATCTTGGGGCAGATGTTAGTTGTATCCAACTACTGTCTTGTAGAATGCATCCTAGGCAAAGACTTTAGGGTTGTAAAGATTAATTCTGTTGACCAACCTCGAGCTCCTTCTTTATCTATAAGGCTGACGTATATGTAACCCTTTGTTACATTGTTTCCTGCCTAGGATGATGCATACTGGGCATCTTGGCTCTGCACATAGGTTTTTGCTTGTGTTTTATTGTGGTTATGCAACTCTTCCTGTTATCTCATATTGAGGGTAAAGCTCTAAAACTCAGTTAAATGGTTCTGAGGCCGGCTGGTAGTAAGGTTTCACGAACTCTGTGGTAGCTCTCAGAGAGGCTGATTCCATCAACAGCTGTAAAATATTAGTATTAACAGTGCCATCTTGTGTATGAGTAGTCTCCCTGTTAATGCTTTTGGTGTGCATTTTCGAGGCATACAAGAACCCCTATGTTACGGGTTAATTAACAGGACTGAGTAAATTGCATAGCTCATTGCTTGTTCTATTTATCTATGAATGAGTCAAATTCTCTTTATCTATGAATGAGTCAAGTTCTATTAAAAACTTAAATCACGCTAAAAGTAACCCAAAAATATTAGGCATAAAAAACCATTTCAACTTTTTTTATACATCTTTTACTAATATTCGTGGTCTGGAAAACAAACTTCCAGTTCTCAGTATTGATGGGTACTATCCTTTGATTTGCAAATACTCCATTAGTTACATGCTTGGCTTGGGGTATACATATGCATCAATTCATCTATTAGTCGTGAAGTCAGGTTCAAATCCTTTGACCATTTTTTATGTGCCTCCGCTTAGCACCTCTTCATTCTGTCACATTTCTCTTTATTCTTCGAAAAACACTAAATCAAATCCTTCAAAGTGCAATCTAAATTTTACTGACCGATGCAATCTCCAAAGGAAAAATAGTTGTACTTTAAAATAAAAGAAACTCTGAGATTTTTAATAATATTTAATAACATTTGTATTTAAAATTTATTATTAATTATGTTATTATTAATAATATTTTCGTTTAATATCAATTTATAACATTTATATCCCATTGTAAATGCCGTAATCGGGTCTAGAATTTTTAAAAACTGTTCAAACAGCACTTTGACGGATTGGATTTAACGTTTCCCTTATTCTTCATCGTTTTCTCTCTTGAATTTTCAAAATGGTAGAAGGCGTGAATTGTTTCATAACAATTCACGGCTTCTACCATTCAGAATGTGGAAGTAAAATCTTATAATCAAAATTAGAATTAGGCCTAAAAAAGATCATATTAAACGAAATTGATTTATAAAATTACAGGTGGTTATGTTGTCATGACAACCACCTAAAATGGGGCATATAGTAAAATATGCACACCGCACCGTCAAAAATTTCTGAAATTCTAATAGAGTATTCAAAGTAAAATTAGTATTAGAAACTATCAACATCAGTGTTTGATAGTTTCTAATAGTAATTTCAATGTTGACAGGTCAGCTCCAAAATTTAGCTCACAGGTAGCTAATAAAGCTACCTGTGAGCTTTTTAGAATGATCATTAATGTTGATTATAAACAGTAAAGCGGCTGAGGAAATAAGGTAACCTTGTTACTTGGTGTTTTCAGCATATCACTTAGTAACACTAGTGTGATTTAGCAGCGTTTGGTGCCACACGGTCTGTTTGTTTTGAATTTGTGATGTATTGCTGTTATGTTTATTATGTATTGTTGCTATGTTATGTTTGTAATTGTGATGTATTGCTGTTATGTTTTGTATTGATAGACAACTTGGCTTACCTTCTCGCTGGTGCCTATCGTTAAAAATGATTATTAGTTTGTTTCGTAAATAAACCTTGCTACTTCTAATCATTAACTAAAAGCCAAGAAATATGTTTTAGAATGAAAACATTTTTTATGTTATTTTCATTTTTTTATCTTTAGCATTGTCATTAGTTCACAATATATATATATATATATATATATATATATATATATATATATATATATATATATATATATATATATATATATATATATATGTATATATATATATATATATATATATATATATATATATATATATATATATATATATATATATATATATATATATATATATATATGTTGTTCTTTTATCTTTACAATGTTGTGATTCTACATAACTGGTACAATGGTATAATCTCTTTAAAATATAAAATATTAAAAAAATATATATGCGACAATTTTATAAAATACAAAAAATATGATTGCAAGGTATCATTAATATTAAAAGAGCGCGGAAACTTGCAGAACATCTGATGGTCTTGTCATCAAGAAACCGCTCTTACTTGTAATATTTTTTGCATTTTCGTTTTACAATGTATCTAGTTTCACAAAATACTTCATTTTATATTGGATTCACATATAATAATAAAAACAAATGTAAAAAAAAAAAAAGTTGATAAATGCTGTTAGGAGTACACAAATACACATAACTATATTATTAGGCATAAATATAATTATAATTGATTTATATTGATTTTTTATATTAATATATATTATTGAAGTTTTTTGGGATTTTGTTTTGCAACGCTAATTTTGGTTTTAGTTTCAGTTTTAGTTTAGTGTAAGTCCAAATAATTGTTTATATTTAGAACAAATTTTTGTAGTAAGATTTTCAAAAAATTTATGATATCTATTTTTGTAATTATAGTATTTTTAACCTTAAACCTTAAATAAAACACGTGTTATAAAGAGTAATTTAAACAATTGTTATAACTGTGTATTTAAAGGTTATGAACTAATTTAAAATATAACTTATTTAACATATTCTACATAAAAACACAGGAAACATATAAAAGAATTGAAAAATAAGAAGCTTGCTGAATCATGACAGCGTAAACACAGAAATCATCAAAAAGCTTAAGGTATCATTGATACTCCTTTTTCTTTTTCTAGTCAAATGGAAGACCCCGTCTATCATTCAAGTTTGTCAGAACCGCGTTAAATTGGCTTTACCAAAGTCGCCACGAAAAGCAGATTATGTCCTTAAACAGTTAGCAATAAAAATGAACATCTCTTTACCAGATATATCAAAGATAAAAAAGTGCATCCGTTTATCTGCTAATGTAATCAATCATGTACTAAAGTTTTACAACTGCAAAGAAATATCTCAATGGACTCTAGGTATGAAAGACTTTATAAAAATTGATTGTGAAAAATTTCAAAAACGTTTTCTGTTACTTAAATGAAGGGAACGTTATGCCCTGTACGCAGAAAGAATTTGGTAGCGAGATAAAATTTTCCATATTTTGTGCACTTCATCCAGCTTAAATACTTAAATATTCAGAGACACCTCTTGAAACCTGCTGTTGTCTAATTCATGAAAATTTTATTAATATATGTAACGCTTTATCCTCAAACCTTAATTTTAAACCTTAGAACACCAACTGGGTAAATAAATTGATTCTTTGCAGCCCTCTCACTCTAGATTGCTTCTTAATGTCATGTAGTTTTTGTGCTAACTGTCCCAACAACCGAATGCTACCACCATCCAAAGAGAAAAAAGAAAAATGCATTAAAGTCAGTTACATAAATTGATACAAAGACAAGGTTACAAATCGTCTACAGCAGGGAATGATTAAACAGTCTTTGTATGCAACATATACAGAGTTTTTAAAAGTGTTATCTAAATTTCGGATTCACCATTTAATTAAACGTCAGCAGGAGTATGTTTATCGCCACCAAATAGATAATATCATGGATGGTGAATTATTAATACAATTTGATTTTAGCCAAAACTATTGCTGTACTTATAAAGAAAAAGTGCTTATTAGAGTCAATATCAAATAACAATCTTCACTGTTGCTGTTTATGGTAAAGATTTGAAAAACATGGTTGCTTATTGAACAGTTAAAAATAATCACAGCAAAACATGCGTCAGTGTTATCCTTGAACTAACTTTGAAGATATTTTTCTTAAACAGTTCAACTTT